AAGCTACAAGTTTTAAGCTGCGCATGTTTTTAGAATGTCCATGAATAAGTAGTATATCTGCGAGGTAAATACATCTTAACTTAATATTTAGCTGCTGGAGACCAGTGTCTTTTAAAAACTTAATTGCATTTCATATTTTAAACTTTAAAATAGCTCTCCAGAAAAAGGATCAGACAGCTGAATATTATTATATGAACATTTTTTCTTGCCATCATCATTCAACTTGTGATAATAGGAAAAGCTCATTTCGATTTAATAAAACAAATTTTTATTTCCGAACAACAAATGTTATAAAGATAAGAGAAAATGTCAACAATGTTTGGAAATCTAAGGCTATAGCGATGTAGCGGAAGTTCGCACGTACCGGGTGAAGTTACTTCCGCTTAACTAGCTGTTTGTTTATTTAGAAAACGAGGTGAATAACAACTAAATTTATTCACACCTCATGTTCACTAAGGCGTTTTTTAAATCGTATGTTGCAAGCGAAACATGCACGAATTAGTGTTCGAAGATATTTCGCGAGAAAATGAGACCCGACTTGGCGAATGCAACATTGGCGAATATCAAAATACAGTGCCAAAGTGGTGCCCGGGAGTCGACAATAGGGAAAGTCGCGACCGAGCAAAGCTAAGCGCAGATAGCGCTATTTTACACAAATATACCAAAATAAGATGTAACATACAAAACATAGCACTTCTTGCACTTTATTTATGTTGTGACATTAATTTTCATAACTTCGTTTTAAGCTGACGACCTGTGAGAATTAACAAATTACAGAAAACACTTATGAATGGTAAAATTTCAATAGTAAAACTTCTTCGAATATTAAAGCTGTCGAATATAAGCGGGGCGATACACTGGAAGTTTTCTAAATTTCTTCCGGTTTTAAGTAGCTTGTTATTGTTCACATTCAGTCAACTGTCTGTACTTGAAATTTAAGAAAAAAAATTTAAGTAATTTTCTTCCATACTGTTCTCACAGCATGCGACTCAAACATGTCCGACCACTGTCGAGAGGGGACCCAAATGGGGAGTTTTTCGTGAGAGAATATATTCCACCAATAAGATGCTCATTTTTCCCGTATGTACTCATTCTTCGTGCATTAATAGCCTGCGGTGAAAATGACCCGTAAATAGCACGCAGATCTTTCAGAAAATTAACCCATGTTTAGGCTGAAACAGTCTCATCCCTATTGCGAACAGTCGAAAAACTTAGATATAGCTGATTTGTGCACTAAGCTGATGAGTTTATCTTTTCCATAAATCAGGTATGTTATAGGATTCAAAAAGACTGGATGGCAAAATCTTTCTATTAAAACACTTTCAGCAGAAGATTTAACCCCAGTTGTAGTAAGTTTTCAAATAACGATTTTTTACTTTCTATAGTACTTGAAAACGACGCCCGATGGCTGAGTGGTAGCGCTTCGCGCTCCCGTGCCACACCTCCTAGAAAAGAGCAGGCCTCAACATGGGTTACCATAAATATCCTTTAGTAGTCCAAACGTAATGACATACTTCGTATTTTCAACCACTGCGCAGTTTAGTACCCCGAACGTAATGACATCTTTCTTATTTTTCATCAACTGCGCAGTTAACTTCGTCACATTAGACTACTAAATTGATCCGTGGCATCCGTGAATTGACACCTCCTACAATGAGGCATTCCTTCATTGTAGGAGGTGTTGGTTCGATCCTCGGGCCGGGCAAGGTTGACTCAACCTTTCATCCCTTGGGAACTAAACACTGGGGGTTTCGCGTTCTGCTGAACACCTAACCGGAACATCTGCTCCTGCACCCCAGAGCCCAGGGTCAAGAAAACTGGGGTGGGCAGAATAGGCCTTGGCCCTCTATGGGCTGTCACGCCCCTGAGTTTAGTTTAATTCTTGAAAACATTTATAACATGATTACAAAGTTTCTTATAAATATTTTCAATCACTATTTGTATCATATCTGAGAGCGCTGGAATCTATAGGCTGGTCATTATATATACTGTGAAAATCGTTAGCAAAAAGTGAGATCTCAACATTTTGAGCAACCGTCTACTAATGATTTATTCTCGGGAACTACTGAAAAAAAGAAAATAAACCATTCGTGAGTGTTTTGTTCCAAATCGTCCGGTCCCGCAGTGGACTGATCGTTAAGACACGGTTCCCAGCAGATCATCGAAGTCAAGCATCACTGGCCGCGGTCAGTGTGCGGGTGGGGGACCACTTGGATCAGTCTGCTTAGGGGCCGAGGGTGTGCGGTATTGGTTCTCGTTAAACTGTGCTACCGTAAAGTGCTCGACTTCGCGCGCAGGTCGTCGGGCTACCGAAGCGGGGGTGCCATCCCCTCCGCAGAGGATCAAAATTGTGATGGCATGTCTTCGGATCATCCTCCGGGATGTTTCCCAGACCGTCGCCAATAGCCCATTGTGCAGCTCTAGTGCGACGTAAATTAACAACAACAACCAAATCGTCCAATAGTAAAACTGTTTTCATACTGAAACACTTAATTGGGGACAAGAACAAAAGTTTTAAAGAATAATTAATGTCATTTTCTGAGTTTGACACCTTTCAAAGCTCTGCAAAACTCGCACTAAATGTGTTTTGGGCAGAAAAAGGCAATTGTTTTAATGTGTTCAGAATTGTCAGCTAACAAAATAGCTAAAAAAAAAAACTCGACTCGACACCCTCAAAGGTCAGTTTGGTAGATCCTTGCAGTCGAGAAAAGGTACTTCAAATATTGATTGTGAAGTTGAAATCAAAAGGTAAAATACTTCAAGTCATCGTGGAGGACATTTTGATGGAACTTATCAGCATTTGAGTTGCAAGGAATGGAAAATCCACCACGGTTAGCCAAACGGCAAGGGGACTCTAACCTATGATCCGTCAACCACCGAGGATATTTTTCATCGATCCTGTGGTCAGTTCGAGCCGGGTGCGGTAACCCGAAGGAAGAACGCGCTTGATCCTCGTTGGAAAGCAAGCTCTTTATCGCCTGAACCACCGATTGTCTTCTTTGAGTCACCATGGATCTTTGCTTCGTTGAAAATTATAGTAAAATACCGCGTAATACTGTAAACACTGCAAGATTAATAATGTTAGATGGCATGCTTTTCAATGCCTAGGCGTAAAAATTAATTAAAATTAGTAAACTGGCAGTCTTACGATGTACTAAGCTGTATACGATTCTCCATCTATTGTTGCTCATCCAGCAATCATTCAAGGCGAATTCTCGATTTTGTTTGATTCTATCATTTTTAATATCAGATGGGAAAAAAAGAGTCACTATTGGTAGTACTTTGTCTTACTAGAGCTGCACATTGGGATATTGGTAACGATCTGGGAAGCAACCCTAAGAGGATGATACAAAGACATGCCATCCCAATATTCTGCAGGAGGGACGGCTCCTCCGCTCAGATAGCCCGAGGACCCTGCACGCGAAGTCCAGCACTATACGGTTGAATAGTTTAACAAGGGCTGATATCGCGCAGCCTCGATTCCTTTTCAGGCTGATCAAAGTGGTCCCCCCCCCCTCCATTCTTGACCGCAGCGAGTGATACTTGGCTTCGGTGATTTACTGAGAATCGTATCTTATGATCAGTTCACAGAGAAAAACGAGACGAATCAATCATTTTGAAACTTCCCTCTAAACACCTCAATATTTGTTGTCGCATTTTACTGAGTTTATCACCATAAAATTAAATACTGTTCATTGAGTTTCTCTTTCTTAAAATAACTTGTACCGCACACTGATCTTAAAGACACGGTTCCGAGTAGAACACCGAAGGAAACCAAGCATCACTGGCTGTGGTCAGTAAGCAGGTGAGTGACCACTTTGAGTAGGGACTGAGGGTGCACGGTATCGGTCCTCGTTAAACTGTTCCAGCGTATGTTCGATTTCACGTGCAGGTCCCCTCTGCAGATGATTAAAATTGCGATGGCATGTCTTTGGATCATCCTCAGAGTTGCCTCTCAGACCGTCGCCAATAGCCCATTGCGCAGCTCTAATGCAACATAAATTTAGTACCTACCTACCTGCCTACCGCCTAAAATAACTATATTTGAAAAAAGAAATTCTGCAATTAAGGCTTTATACCTGAACTGTGTATGCAAATAGTGGATGGTTCCTAAGTTAGAACTATCTAATTTTGTAAATTTTACTTCATCAAGATGCTTCATCAGAATGATTAAGAATCTTTCAATTGAATTGATTCGATAATCTTCCGATTCGTCAAATCAATTATTTTTAAAAACCACACAAGTTTTTAGATGCTTTAAACGTACCCAAATATCACAGGAATAAAACAAAAAGCAAAAAAAAANAAAAAAAAAAAAAAAAAAAAAAAAAAAAAAAAAAAAAAAAAAATATTTTGTGTCGGTCAAAACAGGACAACTACAAGTCCAGAGTTTCGTAACCAAAAAGCGTATTATAACTGGTATTGTTTGAACTCATAAAATAGAGTTGACAAGTTTTCAAAGTAGCCATCAATAATCAGAAGTACAATAAAAGAGAAACATATTCAGTTAGCATTTACGAAACTATTAGAGCTATTTCAAAGTATATATACAATTTAATTCTATATAGGGTATAAATTATTAATATTATGCACGAATTTACTATTTAAAAAAGAAACATTTAGATAAAGGTGCTAAATTATAAATTATGCAACGTTGAATCTTCACACTTCATTATAAAATGATAACGTTGAATTGATTACTTGGAATCAATGTTCTAGTTTTTGTTAAATTAGAAATAGCCTTTTCCCATTCTGCATTTAAACAACTAAGCTCGAAAAGTTACAGATTTGAGTTTTCAATATTCTTTTGCTTTTTTATAAGAAAAGAAGTTTCAAATTAGTTTCTCGGAATATCAGGGCTTCCCACACATTTCAATCAAAGAAAATGGTAAAAAAGGAGCATTTGTAGTTCGAAAAAAGGACTTTGGAGGACCATTTTAAGTTTAAAAAGAAAACTTTGGAAGATTATTTATAGTTAAAACCAAGAATAATCAGGTAACACACTGAATGATTAATTTACTGACCAATAAAAATACATATACATAAACATAAAAATACATAAACAATAAAAAATAGTTAAACAGAATTCATTTGGATAAAGCATCCTATAAATTAGATAGAAATTTAACAAGTTTCTTAACTCAGAAGCTTATTTTTAAAACACTGATTTTTGAAAATGCTCTAATGGTTGCAATTGAAGTGGGACAAGTGTGAAATTTTACAAAAATTGAAAGATTTACTGAATAAAAATTATGTAAATCCGAGCCTAGTGTAAGTTCTCAAAAGTTATTTAATATTGAATACTTTTAAGATATTGTTGAAATGATTTTGATGAATGATGAGATTTGAAATTGTATAGTAATTATTAAAAAAAGAGGAAAGTTATTCCAGAATTTTTTTAAAACTAACTCTAGTTTGAAAGCCTCTTTTAAAAAAGAAGACTGAATGATAATATTTATAAGAGAGTAAGGAACAAAATATAAAAATATATATTTACTTTTATTTGGCACTCATATTTAGTAACATACTAAACATTCAGAAAAATAATATTGAAGAAACATGTTTTGAACATAATGAAATATATAATTGTTCAACATGTTAAAAAAAGGTTCATCATAAAAAAAGTTTTTTCATCAACACGGACACAGTTATGAGTAGTTAAATTACTATTGCTAAAAAAAACTCTCATTACAAATCTTCAAGTTTTTCCTTATTGTGTGTCTTAGTGTGAGCAGTGAAATGATTTTTCCGGGAATAAATTTTGTCACACACATCGCATGAATAAAGCTTTTTTACTTTGTGAACACGCATGTGCAATTTCAAATAACAATTGAACGCAAAACTCTTATCACATATACTGCAAGAATAAGGTTTTCCTCCAGTGTGAATAAAACTGTGTTGATTTAAAATATATCTTCTTGTAAATTTCTTGTTACATATATTGCAAGAAAAAGGTTTTTCTTTAGTATGAATTCGATAATGATGTATATAGTCACCTTTCTGCTTGAAACTTTTATCACATTGATTACAAGAATATGGTCTTTCATTAGTATGAATAAGCATATGAAGACTTATACTACCTTTCTGCGAAAAACTCTTATTACAGATACTGCAAGAATAAGGTTTTTCCTTCGTATGAACACGCAAATGAATATTCAGTTTATCTCTTCTTTGAAATTTTTTATTACATATGGGGCAGTGATGAATATTTTCTCCAGTATGAATACGTTTGTGTACATCTAAACTATACTTAAAACGAAAAGTTTTATCACATAAACTACAGGCAAAAGGTATTTCTTTAGAGTGAACAACACGACAATGAGTATTAAGACTTAGTTTAGTTAAAAACCTCTCATTACAAATTTCACATGAAAAAGGTTTTTCTCCAGTATGAGTTAAGCCATGCTTAAACAACTCACCTGTTGTGCCAAAGCTTTTGTTGCATAGAGTGCAAGAATAAGGTTTTTCTTTAGTATGAACACGACTATGAACATTTAAATTACTTTTAAATGCAAAACTCTTATTACAGGTACTGCAAGAAAATGGTCTTTCACGAGTGTGGATGTTACGATAGTGTTTAGATAAGCAATCTTTCATAGAAAAGCTCTTATTACACAGTGTGCATGAATAAGGTTTTTCGCCCGTGTGAACACGATTATGTAAAATTAGAGCAGATGATGACGTATAACTCTTGTCACAAATACTACACACATAAGGCCTTTCCATTGTATGAACAACATTATGCTTACTTAAAGAAAATGAGCTGGCAAAGCTCTTGTTACAAATGTTGCACACATGTTGCGAGTTTGACAAAATGCATTGCGATGACATGATAAATTTATACTAAATATACAAGTAAATAATTAATAGGCAAAAGAGGCAATTTTAAAAATATATAAACTAACAAAGTGGCCTTCTCACACTAAATGTACAAGTAAATAACATGTAGTAGGCAAACTTAAAGATGTGCACCGATGATGTAACATATATAAACTAAATATAAAGTAAGTAATATGCATGCACATTAATTTGACAATTTGCTCTCCAAATGACAAGATCTTCTAATACTAAATATTCAAGTAAATAATTTGCATACAATTAAATGAAATTTAAATATGGGTGTTTCAAAACATGTTAGTAGACTAGAAAGATTTATTCAACAATAAAGATTTCTTTCTTTAGTTTGATTTAAAAAGTAACGTTTTTTAACAAGGAAAAATATTTGCACAAATATTGCACGGAAAAATATTGGCTTGGTTATAAGAATAACTAAATAATACTATTTATTGCACTCAGGCTTTTTTTAAAGCCAATACTAATATTTTTTATTGACTATGATGTATTGAGCCAATTAGATAAAAAAAAAATCTTTTGTAATTCAGTACATCAAACCAATCAAATACAAAATTGTTCAATACTTTTCATAAATCATTCACACAAATTTTAAAAAAAAAAACCTTGATGATGGCTAAAAGTGGAGCTTGGGATCATATTAAATTTTTAAAAAAAAACCTTGATGATGGTTAAAAGCGGGGCTTGAGATCATATTAAATTTTTAAAAAAAAACCTTGATGATGGTTAAAAGTGGGGGTTGAGATCATATTAAATTTTCAAAAAAAAACCTTGATGATGGTTAAAAGTGGGGCTTGAGATCATATTAAATTTTTAAAAAAAAACTTGATGACGGTTAAAAGTGAGGCTTGAGATCATATTAAAAAATATGGAATAAAATATTCTGATAAATACACAAAATAAAGGCTAACTTAAACATATTTAATATTCATTATTCCAAAACAAATTTCACATTTTGTGGTAAATCTCAATCAAATGTCAAATAGTCGCTTTCAAAACTATAAAGTTAAAAACAAAATGTTTCTTCTAACTCTCATAAACTTTATGGTTACTTGAATGGACAAACATCTGCCAGTTATTTCACTGTAATATCAGATTGAAAGTCAATGGAGACATCCAGGTTTCATCTGTGGTCACTTTCTGATTTCATATCTATTCACTTGACCTTAAATTATGGATGTTCCAAATTGAATTACAGACATCTATAAAGAGAAAAATATAAAATATATGATAAAATTAAAAAAATTATATTATATATTATGATATATTAAAAAAAATTTAAGTTGAACAACAAATTAGCTTGACTATGAGACAGATAAAATGAATTGAAAATAGAATCTAATTTTATGAGAATATTTAAAGTTAAATTTATACACGAACCTTCTAACACGAACCTAAGCCGCATTTGATTCAGCTAACAAAAAGTATGCAGAAAACATAACCTTATTTGTCTAAATAACAATCTCAAATATAAAAATAAGTACAAATCAAAAATAGTTCCTTTAAAACATAAAACCCAAGCAACTTAATATTATAAAAAAGTTCTTGACACTGCTTTTTTTTTGTATTTTTTATGCTAAATTAAATGCGACCAAATCCGAGTAGATGGAATAAACATCTGTGGTGAAAAGTTTTAAGATTAAATCAAAGAAAAGAAAAAAGAGATAAGAAAAAAAGGACCCTTGCTTTCTGATCTATTAGTCCCACAAATTAGAGTGTGGTCTTAATTTTAGAGTAAAAAATATATATATAAGGAACGATACTTCAATAAACAGATATATAAATATATATATATATACCAGACGCGTAAATCAAACGTACTTTTTTTAAAAAAAAAAAGCCTTTATAACTTCTAAGCCATCAGTCCTATCGCCTCAAAGTGATCTCATTGAAAGCCCCCTCCTCAAAAAGAAAAAATAATAATAATAAATAAAAAAGTATAACCGTATTAAAAACTTGAGATCTGTGAAAACAAGAAGTCAAATTGAGAATAATCTTTTATTTTCTATGAAAGAAATACAATTATAGCTACATAAAATCTATTTACATAAATCACAATAAAGGAAATCTAACAATACTAATGGAAATAATATGAACATATTATAAGACTAGTTAAAAAAAATAATTTAAAAAATATTATTACATATGCTGTTAGGTTTAACATAAGGTGAACAAACTTCACAGAAGGTTTATCTTTGCTATGAAATTGTAATTAGCAAAATTCTGCTTTTGAGCAAATCTTACATGTCATACCACATTCAATCCACAAAAGAAGAATCGCTTCTAAGGAGAATGACCTTACTGCTTCTTTTTCTTCCTATCAGGAGATTGTAAATTAGTGATTTGCCTGCAGGGATAATAACAAACAAAGGAATACTGAAGATGTCTTTTAGAAAAAGAGTCCGGAGATTTGGGTTGAGTCTGGATCATCTCTGTCAAAAATGTACTAAAAAACTTTACACATACCTGGTTCTTGCACTAAGCAACTAAATTAGTCTTTTCATTAAAAAATAAAATAAAAACAAGTCTGCTATAGATTTTCTTCCACTCAAGTGATAATAAAATTTTTCAAGTAACAACTTAAATGAGCTCCTCATTTAAATTTTTACTTTTTATACAACTTAAAAACACCTATAACATGATTATAAGTTTTTTCACAGATTTAAATTATTTTTTATGACAAAGTAAATAAAATATTTTTAAAAAAATTAAAATTTATAAGTCCAACAACATTGAAACATAATTTTTGCCACCTTAGGGAAAAATCTTCAGTGGAAGATCAGTCATGCATTTGCACTACATTTAGCAAAGATTAAAAATGCTTAAACTTCTACATTAACTCTGAAAGCACAATTGTCAAAGAGTAAATCATTCTATTTTAGCACGTAGAAATACACAAGTGTTCGAAAGCTAAAGGAAAAAAATTTTTCATATAATTCAAGAAATAGTGAACCAAATTAACAAAAATTTCATATTAAAATATAGCTATGAAGTATTCAAAAACATGCATTTTCACTTGATTTCCATTGATGCTAGTCATTCTTCCTTTAGCATGTATATATGCAGAGGTGTCAAAAACGAAAATAAGTAAATTAAAATTAAATAAAAAAATTATATTAAATAAAAAAATAATTGAATTTTCATGCACACAGCTAACTGAAAAGAATCAATTTTTTAAGATAATTAAAGAAAACCAAATGACATGATGTTAGGCTCATGAATACTCTAGGGAACACCATCAATTGATCATAGCAATATAGTCAATTGATGGTGTTTTCTACTCTAGGAAAAGCTGCAAGCTCCATACCGCCCATACTTACGATGGTTACTGTTTACGATGAATTTTAAAGCCATTTGGCTCACAACATGATCATTGTGTTTTGAGATTCTTGCCAACATGGCGTTTGATTACTTAGATTTAGTTTACTATTAGATTTAGTTTACTATTAGATTTAGTTTACTATTAGATTTAGTTTACTATTTCGTGAATTATCTGAAAAAATTCCTTAACTTTAGGAAATCAATACAGATTATATATATTAGAGTAGGCAAAAATTGGATTAGGGTGACCTGGGTTAATTCACAATCACTCTGTTTCTGGGGTAAATAANGTATTAGATTTAGTTTACTATTTCGTGAATTAGCTGAAAAAATTCCTTAACTTTAGGAAATCAATACAGATTATATATATTAGAGTAGGCAAAAATTGGATTAGGGTGACCTGGGTTAATTCACAATCACTCTGTTTCTGGGGTAAATAATGATCACCTAAGTTTTATTTAAAAAAAAAATAATTTTTTTAAATTTTAGGCATGGACAAGAATGCTTGTACACTTTACTAAAGTATAACTACATTTACTTAATAATAGTTTTTTGTTTAATCTAACAAAATAAGTATCTTTTAAACTGCTTTCTGAATTTTCCATTTCAAAGATGGGTTTCAAAATGTGCACATTTTTGCAAAGATCCCCCGCCTTTTCTTAATAACAAATATTTTGAGTTACTTTCTTTTTTTTATATGAAAGTAGTGTAAGCCTTTGTTTAATTGTTTCACATCTACTGTAAACATTATAATTGATTATAGGAAACTATATCAAATGTTGCCCCCTACAGATGGGGTCATTATTGATCACTGGGGTAATTCCTGATCAGTGTCATTTCTTTTTATAAATAGTACTAAAAATAGCTAATTGTTTTTTCTTAAATAACAGTTCATATTTATTAAGTGGAACAACTATAAAATATATTTTAACTGTAATCACAAAATGTGTTTTTAACAGTATACAAGACAAATGTGTTCTGGTTTGTCTTACCTTGTTTCGTGTTAATTTTATGTGTGTACATTGTTAGCATAATTTTTAAGCTGATAAATTAGCCTAATATAAATATGGTGAGAAATTATAAGCCTAAAAAGGATATTAAGCTTTTAGAAAGCAAAATTAGCGAATTTCTTTTAATGATAGAAAATGAAAATTTCAGTGTGAGAGCTGCTGCCAGAGCTGTTGACATACCTTACTTAACTTTACACTCTCACTTAATGAAATTACAAAATCCAGCAAAAGTAACCTATGTGGGAACTCTTTCTTATATTCCAGCAGAACATGAGAATGAGCTTGCTGCTTGCCTAAAATGTATGACACAATGCAAAGACTTTTGGAAAATTTACAGTGTTAATCTTTATTCTTGCTTTTTAAATAAATTGTTTTAGTAGTTGCTTAAACATATATTTTTGGTTTATTTGTTTGATCTTGATGTATTATTTGTTAATTACCATTGTATAATTATTTTTAAACATCCCCTATACTATAAAAACTGCTGATCAGTAATTACCCCAGAAGTGGTGAGGAATTACCCCAGAAATGATCAAGAGAAGGGAATTCTTGATCACTAAAAATTTTAAATCTTTTAAATTCTAAATAAATTTTCAAACAAAAGAAGGTTAGGACTCATTTCATATAGCTTCAAACTTCCAGTAAATATTAAAATTCTATCAAGAAAAGTTTTTTTTTACAAAATAGATGTTTGCATTTTTTGATCAGAAATTACCCCAGGTCACCCTAATTTGATTTAAATCATAGTTTTTTTTTTTTTTTTACATTAATCAACGAACGCATTAGATAAAATACAATTATAATACTCCATTAAAAACAAAATTATAGCTAAAATACATACATACCTCTTACTAAAATGGTTAAAATTGTTATTTGATTATTACAGACTAATCACTGAATTAATAACAATATAGTTATTTCAGTTCAAGCTTAACATTTTAAGGAATTTTAAAGACAGGAAGTCACAATTGGTAATTAGATATTCAATGATAATAGTTGATAACTATTTAGAATTCTGTTTTAAGATTCAAAATTAGTATAGGTTTTTTTTAAAAAAATTCAGTTGGTCAATAACAATATTTTTTTATGAAAAAAATCAGAATTACTTTAAATTAATGACTTTTTTTAAAAAATAAATAGAAGTGATCTAAACCATGTCAACCCTGTGAAATATGTAGAAAATATTTATGTGATAAACTATGTAATGCTGGCTCCTAGGCTGCAGATTTTTCCTTCTCGCAGCTACTCAAGAGATTAATTACATATCAGTTGCATTCAGAAGTTTTATTACAATAAATCAAAGAAAAATGGACTAATCTGTGATATAATTACTTACTAAATTTCAAAAATGCAATAAATTAAAATTAACAACTTAAGGCCAAATATTAATGTTTTTCTTTAATCATCTAATGTGTAATTAGAGACCGTTTCCCAATTTATGTTGATTTAGCATGTTTAAAACTTCTTTTTTACAATTGTAAAGAAGTTAATGTTGTCTGATGGAACTCTCAAGTTCTTAATAAATACATTTACTTTATGAAAAGTTAATTTCGAGAGTCAAAATAAAGAAATTTCATTTATCGCTTATATATTTACAAGAAGAAAACAAAAAATACAGAATTTCTAAAATGAAGAAGAGGAAAAAAAATTCTATTGAGGAACAAAAGAGGAATTTGATGAAAGTATCAGCTTAAAAATTTTAATTCCCCAGAAGATTTAAATCTTTTTTGTTTAAATATTCCACAGCTACTTTTACCAGTACTAAACTACCTTACCAATAGTGATATTACTTTACATATATTATACTCTAACAAAAAATATTTTTCCCTCAACTACAGCAAACCTAATCAATTATTATATCCATATAATTTTAGTAAACCTATTTAAAGCGTTTTGCCATAAAAAAAAAAAACATAAAAGCATTGAAATTCACCAAACTTTAAAATTTTTTAGAAAGATAAAACACTGCTTGTTCAGAATGTTTCTTTTCTTTTTTTTTTTATAAGAGCTGTCAAAATAGTACATGATTATAGATAATTTAATGATCTCATGCAACATGTACTACAACATCATAACATAAAACAAACAAACAAAAAAACTATTCAATAGGTTTTTCTTTGATATGGACACACATGTGAGCAGTTAAATCATTATTGGTAGAAAAACTCTGATCTCATGTCTGGCAGGACAAAAGTTTTTGTTTAGCGTGAGTCTTTGTGTGAGCAGCCAAATGAATTTTTCGTGAATAACTTTTGTTGCAAATATCGCATGAATAAACTTTTGCAGTATGGCTAAGGATATGCTTTCTTAAGTTACTTCTGTTTACAAATGTCTTATCACAAATACTGCAAGAATGAGGTTTCTCTCCAGTGTGAATATAACTGTGTTGAGTTAAAATAAACTCCCTTGAAAATGCTTTTCCACAGATATTGCAAGAATAGGGTTTTTCATCAGTATGTGTGCGGCAATGCATCAAATAAACAGATTTATGCCCAAATCTTTTATCACAGAGATCACTAGAATAGGGTTTTTCCTTATTATGAACAGTACGCATATGAGTGCGCACACTACCTTTCTGTACAAATCTTGTTTTGCAGATACTGCAAGAATATGGTTTCTCCTTTGTATGAACACGCAAATGGACATTCAATTTATTTTTTCTCAAAAATATTTTATTACATATGTTGAATGGATGAATATTTTCTCCGGTATGAATACGTTTGTGCTCAGTTAAACTGGACTTAGTAAGGAAAGTTTTATCACATAAATTACAGGCGAAAGGTATTTCTTTAGTATGAACGACACGGCAATGTGTATCTAAACTTTTTTTATTTGTAAACTTCTCATTACATACACTACACGAAAATGGTTTCTCTTTAGTATGAGTTCGACCATGGTAGAATAAACCACCGGTTGAGGTAAATCTCTTGTTGCATAGGGTGCAAGAAAAAGGTTTTTCTTCTGTATGAACACGAATGTGAGAATTTAAATTACTTCTATGAGCAAAACTCTTATTACATGTACTGCATGAGAAAGGTCTTTCGAGAGTATGGACATTACGATAATGTTTACGTAGGCTACCATTCAGAGAAAAGCCACGATTACATAAATCACACAAATAAGGTTTTTCACCCGTATGAACAAGATTATGGCTACTTAGAGCACTTGATGACTTATAACTCTTATCACAAATATTACGCACAAAAGGTCTTTCCTTCGTGTGAACGGCTTTTGTATGTCTACTTAAATGAAATGGGCTTGAAAAGCTCTTATTGCAATAGTAGCACACATGATTTTTCACAGTTTCTCCCGAATGAACTTCATTGTGACGAACTAAACTACGTTTTAATGAATAGCTCACAGAGCATATAGTGCAAGAGTAAGAAGTTTTTTTTATTATGGACTTTGCTGTGATTAACCAAGTACCCTTTATGCGAAAACTTTCTGTTACATAAAGTGCAAGAATAAGGTTTTTCCTGAATGTTAACACAACTGTGTCCAATTAAATTACTTTTAAACAAACTGCTCTTATGACACATAATGCAAGAATATGATTTATCTTCGCGATTCCGAATTATAAATCACTACCGCAAGAAAAATTGTCACTGCTCATTCTGACAAAAACTCTTGAAGTGAAACCTGCGGATGAAAAATCAGTTTGTTAAATACTCTATAAGATCTTCTCACACTAATTTGGAAATTTGGAAAATATGTACACTATAAATGGGGCTTCCTTGCTTTAAAAGTAGCAGTAAATAAAATTCGCGCAATAAGAAAATTTGAAGATTTTTACACTAATTACATGATCTTCTTACAAAATATATGCAAGAAACTAATAACTATGTAATAAACAAATTTTGCAATATGTACACCAATGGCATGATCTCTGACTTCTAAAAATACAAACCTACACAAGTAAATGATATTCACAATTTAAGAAAATTCAGAAAAACAATACATCAAGCATACAAAATAGTAATTGACAAAGATAGATAATAAAATGAGAATGCTTTTAAAACCACAATTAAAATAAAAGTTCATCAACTGTAAAATGCTGTTTTTCAGTGCTTTGACTCTGTTCTAGCCAATAAGATACAGGACATAAAAGAAAAAGAGAGAGAGAAAATGTTCTAATCAAAACAAAGAAGACAATCTTACAGTACACTTTTCCCACCATAAATAAAACTAGAACAATAAAGGTAGAAAGTATAAGTAAGGTTAAAGACAGAATGGATTAATCCAAGGATTAAATTGTCCTCTCCAAAACTGTTTTAAACTATCCAAAACTCTTGTAATCAAATTATGTCACAATTTAAAAAAATATTCTGCAAAATAAAAGGTTAGTTTTTGGCCAAGAAACAAAATGAATATGTTTTTGTATTATTAAAAAAGTTTATTATTATTTTTAAAATTTTATTACTTATCCTTATGCAAAAACATAATTTATCATTATTAAAAGCATATTTATTCATATTTAAAGGATAAGGTATTCACTTTTGTTATTCAATGAATTGTGCAGCTTCAAATATTATTAATCTTCAGGGGTCTGTCCAGGCCGAATTTACTACCATTTAGCAGTAGTTTCACAAATTCAACTTCAGGAAAAACGGTAGCTTCACAAAATACTTTTTCGTAAAATTTTATTTTTGCATCCCTTAAGAAACGATAAATCCATATTTTTGAGTTGATTTTTTAATATCATTATTTATTTTTCACACATAATGTCTAAATTTTCACAAAATAGCTACCTCTCAGAAAAACCTAGATAGACCCCTGATCTTGTTCTATTATATCATATTATTTTCCTTTAATAGTTGAGAGTAAATTGCATAAAAAGTATCAAATATTTATTAATGTATGTAATTATTATGTGTACAACAGTTACATGTATAAAATTTTTATCTTTTAACAATGTTCAAGATTTGGACACTTTAAGATAGTTTAGGACAGTAAAACAAATGTGTCCTGTCCAAAACCAGTATAGGAGGTCCAAAACTCCAACCCTGTCAAAAACTATATTTTCAGACATACCCGAGACATGTAAGTATCTTATCAGGAAAGCATTAAACAGAGCTCATTCTAGGCAGAAAAAAGGGCAGGATGCAAAAGTTTAAAAAAAAGGGCATTATTATTCTAAAAAGGCAATAATTTTTTTCTATGGGCTTTACACGTTCTATTAAAAAACATTGTCAATTTTCTTTTCTACTTTACTAAAAGTACCAAAGCAATCATATTAATTACTAATTTTTATTAATAAATTAACATATATACATATATCAAGTTAATGAGCTAATTAGCTTAGTAATTTATTTAAAATGCATGCATATATTAATAAAATAATAAATGTATGTTTTTAAGTGTCTGTAGTTATGATTTAATAATTAAAATGATTAATAATAATTATGATTTAATGATAGTGAAGTTACTGCAAACTTTCAAAAACAAGTGGAACAAGGGGATGGGATGGCTATTTTTCCTTTCCCATATAAATCTATGTATTGACAGCAATGACAAACTAAATAAAAAGAGTTGAAAATAAAGAAGGGTTGAGGAAAGAAAGGGCAAAGAGGGTATGGAGTCTATTACATCAGGGCACTAATTTACTTCAGGGGCAACAGGGTGGATTCTTTTGACTAAAAGGGCAGCAGGGTGCTGCCTAGAAAAAGCTCTGCATTAAAACAACCCCTTAAGTTTTGAATATAAGAAAGATTTTATAAAACAAAGTTAGCTTGTTCTTCTTTATTCCTCTAACCATGACTATTTTTATGTAAGAAAAAAACAAAGGTAATAATGCAATCATTACAATAATATACCTGTAGAGAAATCTTAATTCCAACAAGTTTTTACTTTTATTTATGTTTTTAATGTTGCTTTATATATATATNTATAGATACATATATACAGATAGATATATATATATATATAGATAGATAGATAATAAAAAATAAGCACCTTTTAAGCAAAGAAAAAATATTTTAACCACTTTTTCTACATAATTTTTTTTTAATATTTTTAAGTATAAACATGTGTAAATTTTTTCCAATCTATACACTACCTATCAATATTTGATGAGGGACTTTAAATTCTTGAATTTATTTTTAACTTTTTCAAAAACCACTTAGAGTTATTTTATAACTGCAAAGGGGCTTGGGTCATGCAAATTTGCATACTTATCATTAAAAGTTAAAGTTTTATAAGGTTTGCTAAGCTGGCACTAAATTATGAGAGAAAAAAATGTTTTTGAACACCTTGTAGAAAATGTAGCAATAAATTTATAATTATTCATCTTGACTTACTTTGGTTACGATACATAGGGGTGCACAACCTGCGGCCCGTAGACTGTTGATGTGTGGCCCGCGGGAGCTTCCAAACGCAATAAAAAAGTTTACTTTAATTTGGTTTTTGTTTAAACATTATAAATTTTCTATAATTAAAATATTAAATTCAAATTTACATCACTCTATGAAATGCGTTATCTTTCGTACTTTCATTCTGCTAACACTTTTTTTTTTTTTGTATATAATGGTAAATTAGTTATTGTGAAAAATGGAAAAAGTTTTTTTTTAATGAAAAATATCTATTTTTTTAGTTTTAAATAAATTGAAACTGATAAAAATACTTAAGTGCCCCGTGGCAGAATTGCGGCGACACGGCGACATTGTCGCAGAACGTTACAGAGTTCTTGCAGAAAAAATTTTCCCTTAGAAAGTAAAAAATTTTGGTTTTCGTTTCTGCAAAAATTTTCGAAATTTTTTTTCTCTAAAAGAAGCCTTTTTTGCACATCCGAGGGGAAAGAAATGTTCAAAATTTTTCGATTCTTATTTGAGAAAAATGAAAAAAAAAAAAGAATATTGATTCAAAAAATTTCTTTAATGCAGAAATGTTTGAATGATTTTTTCCCTCCACAATTATATTCAATAGATGATTTTTTCACGCATCAAAGTGAAAGAAATGCTCGTTATATCTTAAATTCTTATTTGGGAAAAATAAAAAAAATTGCTTCTTTTTTTCCTTTGCGGATTTTGCGATAAATTTTTTTTTTTTTTTTTATGTGATAAGGGTTTACGAAATGCGAAAAAAGAAATAATTAGTGGGTTTTCCTCTTTCAAAATAGGAGAATATTGCCAGTGATATTAGAATAAAAAAATATTACAAAATCATTTTTAAAAAAAATACCTAGAATTTTATTATATCCAGATAGACATTTTTGTAAATACGTTTCTGTTACTTTGAATTTAAAAATTTTATGAATAAGGTGTATATTAATTATTATTAATAGTATCTTGCAGAAAGATATTAGTGCTAGAGAGGTTCGTCGCAGAAAGCCCAAAAATATTCTGCCACGGGGCTTAAGTGCATAGAACACTAATGTTTACATAAAAATTATAATGTTTGCCACTAACATGACTAAATATGCGTGTGGCCCTCCATTAATCTACCTGTCGTGCAAGTGACCGTTTACTCAAAAAGGTTTGAACACCCCAACTGTATGCAACAATTACATAAGGTTTTTATAAGTAGAATATTTATGGATACAAGGAGCAGCAAAATGTTTAAAATTTTTCTCAAAATATTGGACATTTTTGGCTATAAAACCTGAATAGGAGGTTGTAGAAACACAAACTTGGAATTATTTTAGATGTTTTTAATTTCATCCTTAATAATTGAAACTTCTTTTTTAAATGAATAGATCAAAAGATACAAAGGTTTATTGGTAATCCTCCCTATAAAATGAATTTCTTTTTAAAGAAAGTTGAAAAAATTTGAACGTTTCTCCTACCGTAACATGGATCGAACTAAATAAATACTCATGATTTTGCTACTATAACGGTACAAAATATCAAGGAGATTAACAAAAAGAAATGAATAAGATAAAATTAAATTGATATTTCAAACGTCATTATCTCTTTTGTAAATGCATTTTGTATGATGAAAAGAGTCAAATGTGACTGATATACACGAAGTACATTTTAATTTACTACTAATCATCGTTATATTTCAAAAACTAATCATAGCTGGCAATTTCAATGCAAAGACTAAGTGTATCATTAAACATTTCAGTAGAATTTATTTTTAAGAAAGGATTACATTAATGATGGCGTCTTCTTGTGCTGCTTAACTGGCAAATATCTTACTGGGAAATATGTTGAAGAATAACATACAGTACAGAACCCATTATCCAAAAATCAGAAAACCGGAAAACCAAAAAACCGGAACGAAATTCGATACATTTTCCTGCCATTTTTTTTTTAAATTTTTTTCCTCATAAGATTTTACGATTTTTCTTTCTTTTTTTAAAGATGTTTACCTTACCATCATTTTGGAAATAATCATTAGTGTATTACTTCATCGTTTTTTCTTATTTTTAAGATTATTTCCAAATGTTTTTTTTTTTAGTTGGACTGAACAATAAAAAAAACGGCTTTTTGTAGCGATTCAGAAAACCGGAAAAATCAGTTATCCGGAATAGCGATTGTCCCAACCGTTCCAGATAATCGGTTCCCTACTGTATATAAAAAAAGTATCTTTTTGCTGGGTAATATCGTGAAAAAGAATTATTAAAAAAAAAAAGAGTAAAATTTTGATTTTAACATGAAACAACCAACCAAAGGCATAAAAAATAAATTATAAAATTTAACCAAGATTGTTTAGAGATATTTGTGGCCATATATTAAAAAATAAAAAAAATCCAATATGATCTAAAAGGTTCCTTACCAAAATTGCTATATCTTTTCTGGCCAGGGTAGAGGCTTCACGTTCCCTTTGCGTAGCCGCCTTCTCCCTTTTAGAAAATTGCAATCAACAAGGGTGTTAGGAAAAAAGAAGATAGCTGTTAAAGAATATATAATTCATTAAATTTATATATTAAAAAAAAAATAATTCCTGAAAAAAGTAATGATTTCCTTTGATATTCTCAATACAAATACTTGTACTTTTTCCAAAATCAGTAACGAAAAAACGAGTAAAAGTACTAAATTTTGAAAAATAACGAATTACAAGAAAAAGTACATATTTTTTGATTTTACTGCAAGTAAAAGTATTGCCATGCATGCTTGTGTCAAGCTCTCCATATAAGAATGCATTAGTTGAAAAACTCAAATCACAGAACCTTTTATTATACACTGCTTTAAAAAAGTTATTATTATATTACTATTTATCTTTTGAATACTACTCATACAAAAACAAAAAAAAAACTTAGAGAAACGACCGCCTTTGGAGGACTAAGAGCTACTGCGCCCACCTTGATCTTCTTAACCTTGAGTTCTGAGCTGAGATAGAAGTAGGTTTGTTGGAAAGCCAAACACAGAACACACAGTGTTTAGTCCCTAAGCATGCTTTGCACTCATTTTATCAGCACACTGAAAAAATTAAAAGCTAAGACAACCACTCAGCCACTGGGAATCAATTTACTCATACACCTAAGTTAAACCAAATTATCGGTGGAATCAGAATTCTTCAGATAAAATACAGTGTTTTCATTACAGAAAAAGAATGCGAGCGAATTTCTCACCCTTTCTCAAAAACAGGGTGAGATTTCAAAAAATTAAGTGAGATTTGCAAAAATTAAAAAAACACGAATAGACTTGAAAAAAAAAAATTTCTTTAATTATAATACATTTTTAACATCTTCCAATTGAATATTTTCTCTGCAACATCATATGGAAAATGTTCTATATCTACTTTTTCATCAGCTATTATATTTATTTGGCTGAAAAATATCCGTATTTGTTTCGTCTTGACCGTTTCTACCGCATTTGTTTCATTTTCATTTGTCCGTTACGGAGTAGAAGATGTCGCCTTAACAAGGTATTTGTCCATCTTACATTCATGCACAGAAAATGTAAACGTCTTACATGAAGAAACCTTACCTACGGTGAAGATGTGGTTGCAGAGAAATGTGTTCTGAAAGGAGTTTCGTGGTTCAGGGGGGTGTTCTGCTTTTCGCACCGGTACTGGTAAATAGGGAAGCTAGATAACAAGGACCGATGTTCAAAATAATGAAAGATCAAGGAAGAAAAGTGAAACGGATTTAATTCAAAATGGCAAAAGACGAATTTTTTTCCAAAATTCGCACATTTTAAAATTGATTTATAGAGTGCGCGAACTTCTCACATTAATAATTTTTTATTGCGAGAAAAGAAAAAAATATGCGAGAATCTCGCGCTGTAGTGAAAACACTGAAATAAATCCATTTCATCAAAGAAACAGAATAAAAAGATTATGAGATTAATTCAAAAGATAACAATTTAGATACATGTTTAATATAAACTGAATATGCTTTTAATTGATTTTTTTTTTTTACAATGAAAGCATTGATAGTTGACACAAACATCACTAAAAAGTTCACACATTGAAATTTTTGACTAAAAATATTTATTCAACTAAAGAAATATTTCAGTAAAACCTAATTTCCAAATCATGTTGTATCAAAATTGCTTTTAAGTTAAACAGAGAACAAAAAATTTTGGATCTAACAACAAAATAATAACTTTATGCACTAAACGAGTAACAAAAGCTAAATCTTTAAGTCTGAATGTTAAAACATTCACATAAGTGGTTTTTATCCTGTCCAGCAAACGCCAAATTATTTTTCTTTAATTATGAATGATTTTTTTTTTATTATATGATTTTTTATTATTTAGATGTTGAAATGAAAATTACTTTAGATGTTGAATTATTAGCTCATCCTTACATAATCTAAAATTTCAAGATTCTATAAATATCCCTTATTCGCATATAAAACTTTTATCAATTTTAAAGTCGATTTCCATACATTGATATTTGTTTGAGAATGCACACTTTCACTTAGTATTACGAACAATCAATGCTTTTTTTCTAAACTAGAGATGTCGAAGCTCTTGAACCATACGCATACTTCTTATAAATGGTTAGTTAAACACAATTGACAATAAAAAAAAAATTTCATACATTTAGAACATTTCAAAAATGTAAACATACAAAATAAATCGTCAGTGATTTTTCTTAAAGCGAAAATAAAAACGAAAGAAGAGAGCAATACGAAGACTCTAAATGTTACAGCTATAATGCAGATTAATATTGTGACAATTTTGGGCATTCGTCAAATTAAGAAAATAAAAGTCCATTTTTACTAAAGCACTGAAATAAATTCAAAATCGACGCGATTTCTTTAGAATCTTTAGCTTCTATTGAAAAATAAACAATTGAAATACATACATAAGCGGTTACGACTAGTTAAAGTGCCTCGGAAACCGCTGAAACTATAAATTTGAAATATATGCTTAATAGATATTCGCGATCGCAACGAACTATAGGGGGCGTTGTTGTATGAGACTAATACCTGCGATTTCTATATGAATAGTCATTCAGTTACTCTGGAGACGTCGTTAATGTAGCACGTAGCATTGCAACGTTCCTTCTTTATTGTGGCTAATTAAATTTAAAAAAGAAAAATGCTTGATATTCTTTCTTATGCAAACGAAAACAAAATGGTATCTCTTTTTATTAGAGAAGGAATATCCAAAACACATCGGAAAAATATTTGTACATTAACAGAAAAAAATATGTATATTCTTATAAGAGTTAAAACCTAATGCCCGAGAAATAGTATTACTAAATTTAATGATATAACATGAAAGGCCCATTTAAACTTTACATTCTATAGTTTTAAGAATCATATTACTTCAAAAATTAAAATGAACAAAAAGTATACATAAGCCTCATAATTTTATGAAATTTAATTTTGTAAACAAAGTTTTTTGACAACAATTTTTATCAAAAAATTTCAAGTTTCAATAAAAATCATTATTTAGAAACTAAGAAACGTAAAATAAAGAATGCTGACGAAACAAAAAAAAAAAAACAATTCTTTTTTGTCGCCATTTTTAGTGCTACGAAAATTCGTCTTTGGGATTTGCCAAAAACAAAACAAGATGCAATTTTATTTTTTCAGGAGGGAAATATTTTACCGAAAAAACGAAAATGTACCAATTCCCACAACATAAAACTTTATCTTGGTAAACGTACGTTTTGGAAATGTTATTTCATTTGGAATCTTATTTATCAGAGTTCATATGGCGATATGATTGTTTTGAATCTATGCTAAACTCTATATCGGCTCATTTTCCACCGAAATCCGATTGACTATTTTGATTTTAAATAAAGTGTTTTATTTTATGAATTGTCGCAAAAATTTTAAGTGTAGATTGGCGGCACTTAAAAACCGCCAAATCTGTAGCGGCGGTGGCGTTAATACGTAAGTACCGAATTTTTATTCCATACTTTTCTGAATCATATTACTTCAAACATTGGAATATACAAGAAGTATACATAAACACATAATGTTATACCATTTAATTTTTCATAAAAAGTATTTTGAGAACAATTTTTATCAAAAAATTATAAACTAAAAAACGGAAAATAAAGAATTCTTAGGATAAAAAAAACGATTTTAAGAATTCTTAACATTGAAATAAAAACTTTCATATTGTTTCTTTTTTTATTATTCTTATAGTTCTTAATCAGACGTAAAAAACCATTCTGTAGAGAACCATCATCAAATGAAAAAAAAATATTTACAAGCAAATTTTTTATTGTAAAAATCATTGCACTTACCTGATTTATGATTCCCGGAGAATTCCAAAATGATAAGTTCCTTGTTTGAAAACTTTATTCTCAAATAATAGATACATAGTTTATACCTTCATTACTTTTAGATAACATACTACACAGCAAAATTTTATAATTGATATGAATTTGAATATGTAGCTAAAAACAGAATAGCTGAATTCTAGTTGAACTTATTCTTTCAAAATTAAAAAAAACTTACCAAGAAAACGATTTAAATTAATTAAGAATCAGCACAAATGGCACTATTTCAAGTAACTTGGATAATTTTTTATTGTTGTTTTCCGAATTATATGGATACAGAAATATATACTATTCTATAACGAAGAAGAATATGCTATAACTATTACAATTCTGTATGTTCTGAATTCATATTTATTCACTGGAATGACGAAAGCAATGTTGACTTCACTTTAATTCGTAATGAATTGAAGACAGAAGAAATGCATTTTACCTTAATACACACATCTGTAACAGTATCCGAAATCGGAAGTCATCAGTTGCAAGTTTGTTGATAATAGAAATTAAAAATTATTGAGGAATTTTTCTTCAAATGTTTGGCGTGTTCTGTTCCTGAAAGATTTACTAATATTCTGGAGATTTTTTTCAAGTTCTTCGGCCTTTTCCTTAGGGAAATTTTGTTTCTTATTTGCTGCTAAAAAATGGCGTCTGATTCAGTCAATGACTTTGATGGAACTAAATGAAAACGTGATAAATTAATGTCTGATATTTACAGGCTCCCGCTAGACGGCGTACTCGAGCGTTGCGATCGCGAATAAGGAGCCCATAAGAGGAATTGAAGTTCTTATTTTCCCGTGGACAACAAAACAAACCCTGGATTTAGGGGTACCTTTTTAGTGGTTTGTCTTATTATTGGCGTAAAAAATATTTTTATCACCAATTTTTTTATAGTAAGTGCTTAGTTGTAAAAGCTCTGATATAGAATGTAACAATATAATAAAAGACATGGATAAAAAAAAAATTATATTTTGAAAGTTAATAAAACTTTTTACTTAATATAGAAATATGCTTTAACGTTGTTTATTACATTTATTTGGCATCCCGTAATTTGTATTTAATTAAAAGAATACTTAATGGAAAAAATGTTTGTTGATATTGATATGAGTTGTTGATATTAGCAATTTTTCCGCTCTACCTAATACTTAACAAAAAGTAGAAGAAATGACTTTAGATATTTTTTTGTGTCCCTGGATATAATCGATCAATAAAAAATGCTTATATATTTATATAGTTCATCAAAATATACCAGGAAAAAGAGATTAATCATAATGATTTTGATGTCCCCAAATTTGTACTAAATTTTAAAGCAAATTATAAGGAATGTAGAAGTTGTTGATAATCAGTAATTTTGCCACCCTCCTCTAGCTACGCCACTGCAGTTAGGAGTTGTGTTAATATTCTTGTCAACGTTCATAAGAAAGACGATAACCAAACATATAGCACAACTCGGAGTATTTTAACATTTCAGTTGTGCTTGACTACATTCTTAGTGTCGACCACCATGATGTGGTTCAGTGTTGATGGTTTAATTAACCGGAGAGTTCAATTTGAATATGACAAGAAGATTGTTAACCTCAGGTAGTATTATCAGAGAAATGGGGACCGGCCGATAGGTCACTTCTAATCGCTTTTTTAAAGGGCGCTATACCATGGGGAAACTTTTTATCGTCATAACTAATTTAGAATTTAATGTATATTAAAAAGTGAGTTGAGTGAGTAAAAGTGGTTCGCTTTTTAAGTAATCTGCGCAGACTACTTATAAGGAGCCGTGTGTGTTGTAAATATTAGCAAAATAAAGGTGACAGCTATTTTAAATAGTATTTAATATGAACTTAGAAATAAAAAGAAAAAGAACGATTAGAAAAAATAAACTCAGAATAGATAAGAAATAGAAGTTGCCAGATTACCAAAGTGCAACTCTACAAGATAAACAAAAATAGCGTGAGGCTCTCTGATAGCATGCTCGATTTATAACAGCCTCCTCCGAGCATGAAAACAGTCAGTAGTCAATATTGTCACTCAAAGAACTGCTCTCACACCAAGTAATGTCTTTTGAGCATGAAACTGAGGTGCTGGAAGTGCCTTCGTCAGAATGTCTGCTCGCTGCTCATCACGTCTGACGTAACCTAATTCAAAATGTCCTTTCGAAAACTCATCTTGGACAAACTTGTATCTTTGATCGATGTGCTTAGTGCGAGAGTGAAACATCGGGTTTTTGATGTACCTGATGGTACTTTGATTATCAATCTGGAGGATTGGTAATGAGACGTCGTTGGCTATTTCGGCAAACAGGCGCTTTAACCATATCAGGTCTTTGGTCGCATCCGCTGCTGCCATGAACTCTGCTTCTGTTGTTGAATTAGATACAGCCTCCTGCAATTTACTTCTCCAAGTAATTGCACCTCCACCGTAGAAAGATATCACACCTGTGCGAGATCTTCGAGTTTCAGCACTACTGTTGTTATCTGCATCACTAAACAACACAAGGCTTCTATCATCTGTACTGCTACATACAATGCCATGTGCAGCGGTAGTACGAAGGTACCTGAATGTAGTCTGCACAATTTCCCAATCAGTTTCTGTGGGATTGTCCAATTTACGAGATACTAAACTTACTGCATAAGCAATGTCAGGTCGGGTCCCCATCGCTAAATAAAACAAGCTACCTACTGCTGATCTATATGGAATGTGACTACTAAGAGGATTTGTCTTCTTGATCTTTATCATCCCATCAGCATTCGGAAGTTCATATTCAACCTTCAGATTTGCTTTCTTCACCGGAATGCGTGATGTTTTGGTAGCATCCCCGAAACGCTCTAGCATCTTTTTAGTGAGGCTTTCACGGAGTTACGATTTCTCCCTAGCTTTACTTCTTCTCCCCTGTATATATTCTTTGGTAGATCCCCGTTCTTTGAAGTCGCCTGCTGCTTTTAGATTGCTGATCAGAGTGCTGCTCGTTTCTATTCTTGTGGCTGTCGAAGCGAAAGTGCCTGAAGGAGTTTTTGGTGCATTACAAAAATGCGAGACTTCTCTATTGAAAGAAAAAAAAACACTTTTTCAAACGAAAATCTCAGACAAAATTAACGGACTTTATCAGTAGCAATTAAAATTAAGAGCGCATGTGATAATGTTTGTTTAAAGTTACTTTTATAACAAGTGCCGCAATAGTTTTAATATATAAAAATTTAGCTTTTTTATTCGGCGGAAAATATATGTAGCATGATAGTGCAACACTGGATAGTGTTTTCATTTTTCTTACTTTCTTTTCAGATTTTTTTTTATGGCTAAGATGTATAAAATAAGTAATAGATAATAATTTACAAGATGAAGGTGTATTCCAATTGCAATTTTAATTATTTCTAGTGTTTATGAATTCAAAATCTGTTTTGTGTAGTGTAAGTGTATATCGTCTTTTAAAAGGTGTTCTGAAAATATGTTTGAATGTTAGAAAATACGGTTCACCGTCTCTTTTAAAAATAATATGTATTTTATTGCCTCAAATTAATATTTAGGTTAAAGTATTTGTTGAATTCCAAGCATA